GTGTGTAATTGGGGCATGGAGTACTTCATCTTAGTCCCTGGAGTGTCCCCCAGCCCCAGGTGTAGAATCGGGGCATGGAGTACTTCACCTTAGTCCCTGGAGTGTCCCCAGCCTGAGGTGTGGAAACAGGGCATGGAGTACTTCACCTTAGTCCCTGGAGTGTCCCCAGCCCTAGGTGTGTAATTGGTGCATGGAGTACTTCATCTTAGTCCCTGGAGTGTCCTCAGCCCCAAGTGTGGAATCGGGGCATGGAGTACTTCATCTTAGTCCCTGGAGTGTCCCCAGCCCCAGGTGTGGAATCGGGGCATGGAGTACTTCATCTTAGTCCCTAGAGTGTCCCCCAGCCCCAGGTGTGGAATCGGGACATGGAGTACTTCACCTTAGTCCCTGGAGTGTCCCCAGCCCAGGTGTGGAATCGGGGCATGGAGTACTTCACCTTAGTCCCTGGAGTGTCCCCAGCCCAGATGTGGAATCAGGGCATGGAGTACTTCATCCTAGCCCTGACCTGGTCTGGGCCCCTCCTGTGTGACTCTGTGGTCCTTTGTGCTCCTTCCTCAGGGTGCTTTTCCTGAGATCCTGTAACAGTTTATTGAATGGTGGCCCCCCAGGACAGCAGGGCCTAATGCTGCATTTCTTGGGTGTTGTTATATCTACCATCTATTAGTGTCACTCACACATAGTAGGTGCCCTCCAAATATTATGGAACAAACATGTGGAGGACAACACACCAACAAAATCTGTGTCTGTTTGGGAGGCTGTGTTTTGATGATGGCTTCGGCCAGGAGTCTGAGGCCAGCCTGGGCAGCACAGTGAGACCCTGTCTCAAATATTAGGAAAAGGAAGAGTATGTTGACTCCTCTGATTCACCGCCTTTTTTTTCTTTTTTCTGTTTTATTGACAGCTTTTTACTCTGTCTTCCTTTCCCTGACTGCAGTCTAGGCTTTGCCCTGGTGGTTTTCACTGGCTCTCACTCACTCTCTCTCTTTTTCTTTGCCTTCTTTTTGAGGCAGGGTCTCACTCTGTTGTCCAGGCTGGGGAGCAGTGGTGCAGTCATGGCTCACTGCAGCCTTGACCTCCTGGGCTCACGGGAGCCTCTGAGCTCAGCCTCCCAAGTGCGGGGAGCACAGATGCTTGCCACCACACCCATGCTCGGTTATTTTTTCCTGTTTTTTGTAGAAATGGGGTCTTACTATGTTGCCCAGGCTGGCCTTGAACTCCTGGGCTCAAACGATCCTCCTGCCTTAGCCTCCCAAAGTGCTGGGTGGTAGATGTGAGCCACTGTGCCTGGCCCTGTTCTCCCTCTCTCTCTCTTTTTAAACTGAGACAGGGTCTCACTATGTTGCTCAGGCTGGTCTCCAACTCCTGTGTTCAAGCTGTCCTCCTGCCTCGGCCTCTAGAAGTCCTGGGATTACAGCCTGTTCTCTCTTTCAAGAGATCCTTCCTGCTGGCCTGATATGTTTTGCGTCTATTTTTCTAGTGTAGTGCGGAGTTGTCCCGTGTTTCTTATTTCCTGTCTATGGCAGATGGCTCAGAGGCACACACATGTGTACTGGTGGAGACGTGGAGTTGGGGTGGGCAGAGCTGCACTGACTCCGAGGAGGACCTTGCTTCAGCCTCTCTGCTCTCATTTGCCACTTGGTGTTTGACCAGGAGCTTTGCTTTCTCTCCGCTTGTGAGAGAACGTCACCAAAGCTGGCTTCCCTAGTTTTTTTTTTTTTTTTTTTTTTTTTTT